CCAGTGACATTTCAACTTCTTATCAGCTGCCTTTCCATTGCTCCTGCTGCTTCTCAAGCCTGATTTCTACCAACGTTTTATTAATGACTGTATGTACTCCCTCCCTCCATTTCTGCAGTCCCTCAAATGCACTTTTATCACTATTACCCATTGACAGTGTGCATTAACAAGTTCTTTCAGAAGTTGCTGCACTGCTTGGACTCAGCCCATTGTCATTTCTACTGCTCACTTCAGAAAATAAATACGTTGACATTCTGTTTGGCAGAGCTTTGTCACAACTTGCAGCCTTTCCTCCATCCCATCTGCTCCCCCAGCTGCTCAGTCACACCCTGCCCTGCATTTCAGTGTCCGTAACTGAAGCTAGATAAAATAGCCAATAACTGTTAGTCAGGATGTATCACTTCCCTTCCCACTGTCCCATCTGCTCCTCGCTCTCTTTCAGTTTTTCTCCTGTTCTCTTGCTTTTATGTGTTGCTGTTATTTTTGGCAAATGGCTGCATTGCGGATGACCCAGATTCAAGGGAAGCATTGAAGTATTTGCTCATGTGCTAATGGAGGTGATTAGCAGGGCTCAGAGATCAATTTTGAAGAATTGGTCTTTATTTATTTAGGAATATTTTTGGAAAGGAAGCACTTTAAAGTGCTTTTGAGATTGACTGGATGGTCTCTCTCTTCTGTAGAGAAGTAAACAAGAATGGGCCTTACTCTTTAGTTGAGAGCAATGGGCAGTTAAAGCTGAACTTTAGGTTCTTAGATTACACTGGTAACAGGCATTCCAATTAACAATTTGAGATTTTCTTCCACTGATTTTCCTAGTATGCATAAGGACACATCTATGCTCCTCTTGTAACATAGTGACTGTAACATCCCACAAATTTCAGTTGCTTCATCTCCTCCCTGCCAAAATCCTATACAACCTATGTGAACAGACCATTGGAAAGAAGATTTAATTTTATTCTTCTAGTGTACGTGCGATTCTTCTAGTGTACATGTGAGTCAACATTAAATTACCTTTTAAACAGTGCTTCTCTAGTAAAAAGAAGTTGAAAGGATGGAATTGTAGTGGCCTTGAGAAGAATACTTACTTCCCTTCTCATGTTTGGGAGGCAGTGGAACATAATGAAAGGACTAGGTTTTGCATAGTGACTTTACTTGACTTTTTCAATGCAACAAGCAGCACAGATTATGTTATCTTATAAAGTTTTTTACAGATAAATCAACTGTTAGGGTTAATTGGGTTAGGATTAAATCTGTAGATACTAATTATGTCATAAATATTCTATGTTTAAACTTGGACAACTCTACTAAAAATTGTACTAGATTATTTTCACCCTTTGAAAACCAAAGGCAGATGAAAATAAAGTAATGTAATCTATACTGTTACAGTTTATAGTCTCAAGCACGTCTTTCATGTCATGCTGGCCATAGTATCTGACAGTCTTATTTCACAGTGCATATGTTCCTATGAGAAACATTCAACTGGCTCTCCAGTTTTACCATGCTCTCTGATTTTGTTTGCTTGGATTACCAAGTCTCTGGAAGGGTAGTTCAAAAAGGAATAAATGTTGTGAATATGTTTTTCTCAATAAAGATGTATACTTGCAAACTTCAGAGTATCACCCAAGCAGCTACAGCTTCAGTGTCATTTTAACATGAAGTGCTCTTTCACCACTTTCCTGACAGTATTTCCAACAGGAAAGGAGAGGAGGCAAAGAGGCAGCAGAAAAAAATCCAGAAAAACTCCACAGATCTGTGATGCTCTTACAGTAGAAGCTGCTTGTATTGTTGCAATGGAATGTATTGTTAAAGGCATTAAATTGCGTAATGAAGAATTGTGGATGTGATTTTTGTTTTTTAATATTTTGTCATCTTTGATGAAAATGACATGTTTTATATTCAGAAAGATGTAAATGCTGATAGGTATTTAAATCACAGATGCTACTATGGAATATCAAGAGCAGTTTCAGTCCTTCTGCATACATATATTGATACTTCTAGGGTAATAATTTGAGCGCAGTAACTACTCAGGTACTCCTATAGTTAGCTTTTTCAAATGACATGAGATGTTAAGATAACTTTTTTCATTTGTTACCTTTGTGGCAGCTGGGTAAAAGCTGCACTGACATCAGAGACTCTCAAGAAAATTTGTACTGCTTTTTGGATTGATGCCTAGCAACATTAGTGGAAATTAACTACAGTACAGCCCAGAAATTGTTCAGCTTCTGTCTAAATCATTTCTGTCTTAAACTACTCCCTTATACCTTATAAATGACCAAAGGCTTTTATGGTTCATTTGTACTGTTTAACATATAGCACTTTTGTAGAGCATGATGTATTTTATGTGACAGGCTTATTTATTTTTTTTTAGTAACTGTATTCATTAAAAAAACAATAATAATAATAATCAGAGCTTTTTTGGCCAGACACGTTTGCCTTAGTTTTACTGCTTTGGGTTGCAAAGCAGATAGACCTCACAAAATTACTTGCTCAAATCAACACCTTAGTGGAAAATGCCATCAAACACAACTCTCTGATGGATTGCCCATTTCTAACTCTTTTTCCTAACTGAAACTGTTTCTCTATGGTGTTGATGCAGAAGTTTGGTAGAGAAACGGAGAGTGAGAATAGATCTAGTTATAGGCTGTAAAGGTAAGCTACAGTCTGAATTGATCAACACGATGTAAGAAGAGTGACTTTGAATACAAAAGTCCATACCTGTTCCTTAATTAAACTTGGTTGTTAACACAGATTTAATAGCAAGATTTGGAACATTTCATCAGTATACATTTATGCATTGTAAAAAGGCACATGCTTTGCTATATGGGAATACACGTTCCTACTGTGCATTTCAGAAGGAGGCAAGATATCCTCTACTTGTCTGGGAACTGAAAGAAGATATTATGGACAACTTTGGGGATGCAGTGTACTAAAAAGAGAAAGAGAAATTTTACTAAGTAACTGCATCCATGAATATTTGTATAATTTTCTTATATTCTCTGCCCTTTCCCTATCATACCCTAGTTTTGATCCAGAGTTTTCAGAGGAAAATTTCACTCTCAGTATTCATACGTGGGTGTTTTTCCCAGTGTTTTATGGAAGACTGACTGTTATGGCATTGCACATACAGGCCGATAGAAGCTTATCTATCTGTGTTTTTGTGCTGGCTCAGGCTGACTCATACACTAGATATAGTTCCTGCTGGGACTAACATTTGATTTACCAGAGATCTACTTTGCAGTAATACGTTAAAATTATGTTTTTATGCTTGTAATTCATTTATTTGAAATTTTGTAACTTAATAATCTAGCAGTTGAAGCATTTGTTCCGATGCTTATAGAACTAGCAAACTAGCAATTTGTCTAGAAATGTATTTTTAAGTCTCTTTTGACCATGTGCTAATGTTGTTTCAGGTATCTGAGCATGAACTGTAGTCTGGCTGCAGCTATTAAAAATTAATTACTGGTCTGTTTTTTTGTTTTTTTTTTTTTTCTTTTTTGATGCTACAGTCACAAGACTGTTTTCTGCAACGTCAATGTTTGTGACATGAAGGCCTGAGCAGCTCCTGATATTTTCCTTAGTTTCCATGCACTGGCGAATGCTTATTACTTTGCAAGAACCACTCAGTCTTTCGCAGATTCAGGCACTACAGGAGGAAGCTTTCAGCCTGGGGACATGATAAACAAGATTTTACTTTTTATGCAGTAGTGTAATGAGGTAGTATTTCCCTGAGATATGAGGACTGGAGAAAGCTAGAGCTTTCTACTTCTTCTTTCACAGTCTTTCTGCAGTCTCCCTTGCTGCACTCGCATTTCAAATGATAATGCAAAATGTAAATATAGAAAAAGGTAAATTAATGTATGATAGAGTCTTGCTTTATTTGGATTGTTAGGACAACAATACAGGAACTTTGCAACAGATGTTTACAGTTCTCAAATATGAGCATCAATAGTTGCAATTAAAAGTATTGGGATTGCATACATATTTAAGTAATCTTCATATGGAAATATCTGTTTATTAAGAGACTCAATCTAATCACCAGTTCTGATCTGACTAGATTCTTTCAAGTCAAATTAATTAACCAAAGCATGAACGACTTCAGAATTTTTTTACGCTGCTTTATGCTTTACTTCACAGGGAATCCATTACAAAGTATTATGAGCCCAAGAAGCATGTTGTTTATTGCTTATACTATCAACTATTCAAGGACTACATCTAAGAAGCAAAAAATTAAGACACCAAATATATAGAACTGTGTCCAGTTCTGGGTTTCCTGGTACAAAAAGGGCATGGATGTATTGGAATGAGTCCATCAAAGGACAACAAAAGCGATGAAGGGGGACTGGAGCATCTTCTGTATAAAGAGTAGCTGAGAGTGTAGGGTCTGTTCAGCCTGGGGAAGAGAAGGCTCGGGCGGATCTTACCGTGTGTATAGATACCAAATTGTAAGGTGGAAGAAACCAGCTTGGCACAGTTCTGCTCTAGCTAACTCTTCTTTGAATAGGGTTCTTGGACTAGGTGACCTCCAGAGATCCCTTTGAATTTTAACTATGATTCAGTTCTGCTTTTGTCATAAAATCTTATCCTAAGTTAAATGGCACTGGTGGGAGTTCATAGAACAATAGAATGGTTTGGTCTGAAGGAGGATCATGTAGTTCCAACCACCCTGCTATAGTCAGGGACACCTCCCTCTAGACCAGGTTGCTCACAGCCCCATCCAGCCTGGCCTTGATTGCTTCCGTGGAGGGGGCATCCGCAGCCTCACTGGGCAACCTGTTCCAGTGTCTCACCACCCTCACAGTAAAGAATTTCTTGCTATATCTGGTCTAAATCTTCCCTCCTGCAGTTCTGCTAGATATGTTAAAAGCTTTGGGAACTAATCCATAAGGATTTAAGCTTGTGTGTAAACGTTGTTTGTTGTAACCACAATGTCTTTTTCTAACAATGCTTGAAAAATTGTAGGGGCTGTTAACTTTATCTGCACCCTTTGTTTTGCCCCTCAGGAACGTTTCTTCTCGCCAAGAGTTCATCGCCGACTTCATGCTGTCCTAGCATCTGTTTGCACTTCAATGTTGATTTTATCAAATCTAATATTTCTTGGAGGAAATCATGTTGGAAAAATCTACTGGAACAGGATCTTTATGGAAGGCAAGTTTATTTTATGTGCTTTGTAGATAATAGAACTTTCCAAAAATTACCATGGGTAGACTGAGCCAGGTACTTTCTCAGTGCAAACTGGGAGAAACCTTTTTTTCTTTTCCTGTTCAAAGCCATCAAAAATCTGCCTGAAATAATCTAAATAATGATGCAGGCTGTGTGACTATAAAGTAACACTGGCTTTCTCCCATGAAGTACAGAAGGGGAGTTTCATGCTTCTCTGTCAGTGAAATCACTGAAGATTGAATAGTAAATGTGTGATGGGTTAGCTAGGTGGGATTTTTGTTCTTCTCTATATTTCACATTCACCAATAGGAGAATATGTACTAAAACCAACCCCTTTGATTCTGCAGATGGTTAGTGAATTATGTCTGCATTTTTACAGCGTGATTGAGTGATTGATGCTGATTTTGTAATGGATCTGTCAGAGTAGGGACCTTCTTAATATAAGGCCAAAGTCTGAGGACATAGGATCTTGTGTGACAATATCAGCTTGTGACACTGTTGAATAAGCATTATGTAGCTTTGTGCTGTGAACTCAACCACTGGATAAATCCAGCTTTATTTATTTATTTATTTAGCCAGAGCTCATAAGCAAGGCCAGTTCATTTCTGAGATTTTTATTGCTGCTGGAGAGCTACTTTGTCAAACAGAGGTCTTGCAGAGGAATACTTCTTCCCTGCTGGAGTAGTACTAGGAAGTTTCTGTACCTAGAATTTCTCCCCTATGAAGACTGCCATTCCTCCTTCATGCAGTCTTTTTTCCTTATGTTCCTTGTGATGCTTTAGTGGTCAGTGCTGGAGTCCTACTTAAGAATACCCATATGATGAGACTATGAAAGAGTAAGTTATGTAGATCAAATGAATTATTTATCTTCTCTGCTTAAGAGAAAATTGTTGAAGCAGCACTGAAGTGGTCACATTTTTTAGCATAAAAAGTAGTTGAAGGTTTTTTTAATGCTGGGCAGGATGAGGCTGAATATTTGTGTTTGTGCTTTGGTCTGAAAACATGAAAGATTTGTTCACTTTTCGTAAAAAAAAGCTTCATTTTCTGTTAAATACTGTTCTTTCTTCACAATTAGTTGACTAAAACTTTCAGTATGAAAACAGTAGCTAAGAAAATAAGTTTAGAAGTAGAATTGAGCATCAAATCTTATGGATAAAAAAAATCTAGTGACATTTTCCTTTCATTTTTATAGCTTAATGCAAACTATTTTCTAAATAAAATTTTGGTATTAGCAGTTACTGAATGCTGTTTTTTGAATCCAAGAAGGACAATATTTTAACAAGTAGAACAGTATTAAATCAGATCAATTATTAGTTGTTTTTCTAGAGTGGTGGTGTTGTTTGGTTTAGTTTTTTTCTATTTTATGTATAGTTTTTATTAAGAGATACCAGGTGTCTGAGATAGGCAGCACTAATTAGTTTGATTATTTGCAATTTGTTTCATGTACTGGTTGATGTTAGAAAGGAACTCTGGAGATCATCAGGTCCAACAAGCCTGTTCAAGCAGGGACACCATGCTTGATGTGTTTCCATAATGTGTTAAATTAACTTTAACTTTAGAACTTAAGAGCTTTTGCTTTGTTCAGCTCATACTGTACTGGTACAAATAGTACAGTACTAGTACAAATACATACTGTACTAGGTGTTAAGCTAGATTTATCTGTATCCTCAGATCACACGGATGACTGTGAGCATATCTACTACTGGTTCTCACAAATCACGTACAGTAACTGAAAGTCAGCTAAGATTTCATTGCATCTGCACTCCTGCTCCACTATAATTTGCATACAATTGAATAAATGCTGTACATTGCAGGCCAGTCAAGTCCTCAAGGACTATTCAAAACTGTTGTCTTCAATTTAAAGTAAATTTAAGTGTTGATTGATAGAAGACATAATACAGACCTACTCATGTGTCCTTCTGAGGTAAGGAGTAGAGATCAGTATGAAAGAATAACTGCAGAAAGCTGTCCACCTGCATGCACATCAGCTGCTCAAGAATAGTCATTTTCCTTCTTTTGTTTAAATCCCATGGAATTGTTTGTATAAAAACTTGCATGCATAGCAGTAGGTGGAAGATAGAATAGATTTGCATCACACAGTTTATATATAGAACTGGCATTTTTAAATCACTAGCAAAATTATTCAAGGTCATGGATGCCCAACTTGAGAATAAAATACATCTCAAAGCAGAGATCAGATTTCCAGTTCTAGGTGGAACTTCAGGTATTGTGCATGGAATTCTCAGGTCTGTCAAGGAAGTGAATATCGGTATTTTAAAACTTCATGTGCCAGTGTATACCAGTCAGAAATTATGAGTTCTGTTGCATTACTGCCAGGTAGCAGTAATTTTTTATTATCTGCTTTCTTCTTATGGAAAATAAGCTCATCTGGCTTCAAAATAAATTACTCAGCATCATTAAAAGCATTACTGTCAATTTCAGGAACAGGTGCCTGTGTTTGTTACCTATGTGTATTTGTTCTAAATTTTTTTCTCCAACTGTTTGGACAGGCCTTACACCTTCTTCTAAACCTTAACTTACACTGAGGGATCTGTTTGGAAGGGGCAGCATTGTAATGCTTTTGGTTAACAGAATGAATTATCTTAGCGAGCACTGCTGAAGGCAGTAAGCTGGGAGGAGACACAAGTATGTTGAGAGATACAAAAGGTATAAAATGCATAAAATGCTTCATGCTCCTTCCTTGGTTTAGGAGGAACAAAGTCCAGATCAATGAGGAAAATGCACAGTGCATGTGAGGTATATTTTACTTTGATTAGCTGTCTAGACATTGGACAGCTGTTGTTAAACTCAACTATAAACCAGTCTTTAACCATCCAGTTTACCTCACTATATTGCAAAGAGTGCCTTTCGTGAGGGCAGTCTATCCCACATACATCTTGGCATGGGATGAGATGCATTGTCACTCTTCACTGCATTCAGAGTTGTTTTGTACAGACTAGTTATGATTAGATTGGATGTCTAACCTTTGAGAACGTGTCCTTTAGTAGACAGCCAGCAAAGAGCAGATTTCACCCCCAGTTAGAGATGATTTACTGCAGGAGCCCAGAATGGCTGGCGAGGCAGAAGCTCTGCAGTGAAGGATCTGTCTGACCGTTGTACCAGGCTGCAAACTTTGTGAAGCAATATCATGCCACTTCCAACAAAAATACACCCTTATGCCAAGACATGTTGACAGCAGTATGAAATGCATAAAATAACCTCTTCTTCTGCTTGACATTCTGAAGTTTAAACTTAAAATATATCCAGTTTTGGTTACTGTGGGTTAAAAGAAAAAAAAAAAAGCATCAGACAATTAGGGAGAGCAGAATGCAGCAAAATGGTGGGGAGGCTAGGAGCCATGAAACTGAAGTAAATGATATTGTTTTGTTCTGAGAAGAGATAGAAGTAAACAGAAATTTCTGAAAAGAAAGCGTTAACAACCTAGTCACTATTTCCAGTAAACTCAAGAGACTGAAAATGACTGTGAAAGGTAGCAGGGAAGCTTTAGTTGAGATAGGAGAAACTTTCAAACTGTGAGGCACAGTAAATGCCAAAACACATTATCGAGGCAAGCTGTTGGATTGCAATCTTTGGAGGACAGTCTCCAGGTAGAGAAAAATCTGTCAAGCAATGGAGAAAATATTGATTTTGTCTTGGTGTAGGAGGAACCCCTGATTGGCCTCCAGACCTATTTCAAGCCCTATTTTCTGTAGGTGGTTTATCAGCAGATACAACTGACAGAAATCTGTGCACAACACAGCAGGATTTTGGAGGGATTTTTTTTTTTCCTTAGCAAATTAAAGACTTTGATAATGTATAAAAGGGCAGTTTCAGTAACGTTCTAACTATTTCTGTTTGAAGTTGGAGTCAGGTGGTGGAAATACCTCTTAGCACTGTGAGCAAGATACAACTTAATGGAAGTGATGGCGCAATTTTAAGCTACCAGCAAATACTGTCATGGAAAATTGGAAATATTTGCTCTTTCACGTTTGACCTTTCCTTCTAGCATATAGGATGGAATGCATAGTACCATATGTGAATATTTTTGTTAGAAACATTTCTAAAAGCATTTAAAACCAATTGTACCATATAAAACTAAAACTAGTTTCCAAATGCTTAATATTCTTCCCTAATCAAAAATGGTAAAACCTTTGTTTTGCCTCTAGTTTTCTCTTTAAACTTGCTTTAAGCAAAAACAGATCTTATGCTAATCAAGATCCAGTTATTTGGTTAATTTATAGTGAGTAAAAAGATTTTCATACTACTATGGAGTGACTATCTGACCAGCTTTATGGACATCTTTACTTCTCTGCAACCCTACCTCATATTGTGTTCCATGAAACATCTTAGCCACTGACTTGCAAGTGGGAGTTTCCATGATTGTGACATAGAAGATTCAAAGGTTTGAGAGAGGCAAAGAGTTTGGTGTAATACGTTTGTTGTGATATGCATACATGTGGAATTTTTGTTTTGCTTTGGCAAAAACATTAAACTCAAATCTTATGACATTAAACTCAAATTACATTGTTCATTAATTATACCATATCACTGAAGATTATTCTCTGAGCTTATTTGTATCTTTTTAAATAGATCATGTAGTGAATGAGTTGTGAATTTCAAAGGATATCAGGATGCTTCAAGACATGGCCCTGGAATGCCATTTTAGATGTCTTTAGAAGTTTTGCCCTTGGTTTTGAAGACAGTAAAAAAAATTCTATTAAAAGAATCACTTCTATATTAGTAGTTGAGATCCTTTTCCATGCTCAACAACTAAATCATTTAAAAGCTGTAAGTTACTGAAACTCCACAGCTGTATGAGAGAGATATTAGTAACAAAGCAAACAAAAACATAAGATATTCCTGTGTCAGTTTTTGTTTGCTCTGATCTGGCTCATGCAAGACCGTATCTACCCAAAGCTAATTAATGTTGCAAATCACATGCCTCATTTGCTGCAATAATGAGTGTAGGGAAAATATTTCATGAT